GGTGCTGTCTCCAAAGGGGGGGTGGTAGCTGTCACCTGAGCTGATAGGGCCCACAGTTGAGCAGCATGATTAAGTGCTCTGAACCACTCTGCTGAGTGATCTGGATTGTATTGCTGGAGTCTTGCCAGCTCCTGACAAGCACCAGTAGTTGTTGTGGGAGTGGAGTTGTTGATGTCAGTGGGGAGGTGAGGAGCTGTGCAGAGGCAGGTAGTGCTTCAGGTAGGGAGAGCAGCACAGCCCTCTGCTCCTCAGAAACTGCTTTGGAGAGGGGGTTTATGCAAGGGTGTCTATCAGATCAGATACCCAGGACTTGGTGGAGCAGGCCAGCCAGCAACCTGATCCACCTGTGAAGGTGGACCAAGGGGTTGGAGTACTGACCTCTAGAGGTCCCTGCCAGCATCATTTATCTTAGGTATCCATGGTGTGTAGCAGGACTGATGGACAGCCCTGACCATCACCCTGATGTAAGAGTTGATGGGGGAAAAAGCTACTGTACCATTTCACGTGCCTCCCCAGCAGCTCCACTTGCTCGCTCGCTCCTGCTCGGGCAGGTTTCTGCTGACCTGGTGTGGCTCAGAGTATCAAGCTGTGGGGCTGGCAAGAGCTTGGGTATGCTTCTGTGTTGTCTTGGAGAGTACTGGTCCCCTACATTCTGCAAGCGTTGCCTGATGAGCTGCAGGACGTGTCCACTGATGCCCTGGACAGGCTGAAGCTGAGTAACGAGGTAGTGTGCCTTTGCTGACCAGTACCAGACCACAGTGTCCAGGTGGAGATGGCCTGTGTCCCAGTGACTCTCAAAGAGCTGGCTGGCACTGCCCACCACATCAGACGTGAGGACCAGGAGGTCGTCAGCGACAGAGAGCAGTTTGGCCTGCAATGGCAGTGAAGCACTGGCCTCTAGAATGTTGTGGATTGTGGTTTTGACCCACTGAACATTGGCCATCAGCTGACTTGCCTTCTCTTCAAAGGCCTGCTTGTTCCTCTCCCTCTCCTTTTGAGATAGTGGGGAGAGGGCTGGTCCAAGGACATCTCGGATAACCTGCAGATGTTCGGTATTGGCCTTCTCCAGGTGGAGTGATAATGCCTTGGCCCTGAGAGCCAGGTCTCTCTGCAGGACCTCAAAGCGAATGGACAAGCTGGGAGTAGACAGTGGGGAGACAGAGAGGGTATCAGAGGCATCCAGCAGTGCTTCCGTCAGCACCTTTATCTCCTGCCTGAGCTCTAGCAGTTCACTGCGACCACCATCTTCAGGGCAGGACAAGGAAGAGAGGCGGGCGGCTTCCTGCAGCCTCAGGGAGTTCTCAGACACAGCAGCCAAGAGCCTCCGCGAGCACAGTTTGTTCTTCATGGCACTCCTCAGCTCCTTCAAGAGCAGCACGTCCCTGCCAATGAACCGATCTACAGTGCTCAGCAGGACCTGCATGCTGACAGCCCACTGGACACAGCACAGCTCCAAGCTGGCCTTTCCCACCCTGCTGGGGCCCTTGAAGGACGTTGCCTTCTCAAGTAACACTTTAGTGTTCATCTGAGCACGTGAAAACTTGGCTTGGACCTGTAGAAAGCTCTCCCAGACACTAGGGGACATGGGATTTCCCTTAGTACAGGCCATGCTTGCAATGTTTCTTGCTAATTGTACCACTTCTGCTAAACCCATCATGGTCTCGTCCAAAGCCTGTTTGCCGCTCAGAAAGTCTGCAGACAAGAAAAAGCCAAATATTTGCTGAGACAGACTATACCAAGAGCCCGCCACGGCTGCCAGACACCTTTTGGTCTCACAGATCCTTTTGGAGAGTGTGAGTGCTGTTTGGAGAAGCCTGCTTGGATGATGAAGCTGCCCTGGGGCTGTTTCTGTGGCAAGGCTAATAACGCATGGTGTCAGTAATAAAAGCTCCTGGTGCTGCCCTAGCTTGTCCCCATGGGGGGGCTCAGCAAGGGGCAGTGCTTCCTTTGCTGCCTCCATACAGCCCTCTGAGAGCTCCAGCAAGGTGGAGGAAGCAGCGCTGACAGCTGCTGGATCACGAGCTCTCACAGCTGTGAGGAGAGCCGTAATGACAGGGTGCATATCTCCTCTCCACGGGACAACACCAGGGTGTAAGTTACCTGATCGTAGAGAGGGGCACCTTAAGATGTCTTCTTGCAAGGCAGCCTCATCTATCATGGCTTTTAGCCCAGAGTGTGACAGGCTGAGTTCGAGCACCTTTGCAGCACGAGTGCTTCGCACTAGTTCCCGGAGAGGACTGAGGATATCTGGGTGGTTGGACCCATCCATCCCATCTTGGACATGGTGAGCTGTATCCATCAGGCAGCTCACTGCCTTTGAAAATACAGCCCTGGTTTGGAGGCAAGAGACTCCCTCTGGACAACAGGCTGCAACTGCTTTCACCTCAAGGATGGAGCTGGCCATTTGCTCAACCCAAACAAGCAAACCATTCCTGAAAATGGGATCTGTGGCTCTGTCCACATACCTGGTGGTAGCTTCAACCATCCACTGAGCCCAGCTGGTGAGGCGAGTCACATGCCAAGAGAGCTTTTCAGGGTTCTGACTTTCCAGGGACTTTTCACACCATTCCCTGTGCTTGGCCATTTCCTGGATGGACAGCTTAATGAATTCAGGCATGCATACAGTCTCCTCAAAGCACCTCAAGAGGCTTTCCTTTGCTGCGGTCCAGGCACGGTACAGGGACTGCAGCTGCTCAGGAGTGCTTGTCTGGGCTGTGTTTCTGCTTGTTCCTGTCAGCAGTGGAGGGAGACTGGCAAGGAGCCTCTTCAGATATTCCACCCACTCTCTGATCTCTTCAGCGGTTTGGGTGTTGGTGCACCTGGCCAGAACAAAGTCTGCAGCTCTGAGTATCTGCTGGGCATGTGTGAAGAAGGTGGCAATGAGGGGCTGAAGCCTCTTTAAAAATCCTCCTTGTTCTGCTGGAAAACACTCTGTACCAGCAAGGCTAAGGGCATCTTCCACTAACTGTTTCAGAGGCTCCTTGCCCTCAAAGAAGGTCTCAAGGATTTGGCACAGGGTAGCTGTGAGCACTGCCTGTTTGAGATCCTCCACCTCCGCTCTCATGATGTGACATTCCTCCTCCAGGCTGCCTTCTCTCCAGCTTTGCCCTGTCCATGCCTCCTGCTGGCTTACCTGGCTGCAGATGCTCTTCCTCAGCTGTAGCAGAACCCAGCAGTGTTTTACCAGGTCCAGCTTCAGATCTGGCCTGGATGAGTCTGCCAGAAGCATGCAGTAGACAACTATGGCTTCCAGGTGGGCACTGAACTCACTGTCACAGAGTTGTGCTGGGTCTGGGCCAGAAAGGAGAGCCAGCAGCCTGCTCACATGCTGGGAAAAGGTCCCGTGTCTGTTTTCTAGCTCCTTGCTGTCTGTGCTGACAACAAGCAGGGAGATGAGCTCTTGGATGGCCCTCTCTGTCAGCTGGAAGGCATAGTCTTTGGAGGGGCTGACTTGCCAGTCCTGGGAGTGTTTCACATCGCTGTGCTTGGCTGCATGGAGCAAAGGGATGCACTTCTGAAGGAGATGCAGAGCTTGGGCCAGGCTCTTCTGTCGAGGACTGTCTCCCAGTTCCTCGAGGCGCTTTGCTGTCAGATTGCTCAGCAGAAGCAAGGCCTCAGAGAAGGCCCGGAAAGCAGCCAGCAGTCCTGGCATGTCCCCTGCAGCCCGCAGCACACCCAGGCACTCTGAAAGCCATCTGGCAGCCTGAGTTATCCTCCTCACCCTGGCAGCATCTTCCATCTGAAGGATCTAACCAGAAAAAAAGGCAGAGAATCTGGTCAGAGTGGCTAAGTCTCGAGAAATCCTGTTCACTGTTTTTTCCCCTGTGCTGCTGAAATGGCATCACCGTGTCCCAGCCCAACCTCCACCGCTGTGCCCTCCAGCACTCTCCCCTCGTCCTTACCTTCACTGTCTCTGTGAAGACCCTCTTGGCCGCAGCAGCCAGCTCCTCCCGGAGGCTGGGTTTCTCTGGCTGCAGCTGGAGCTTGTGGCCTGCCAGCAGCACATGCCTCCCAGCCAGCACAAGGGCCTCGGCTGCAGGACGCATCTCCTCCTTCAGGACCTTGTCACTGGACTCCTCAGACAGCCTGGAACAGAAGCCCTGGCCTCAGCTCTTTGCCATCCCGTGAGTGCCAGCCTCGGCTTTATTACAACAATTAGCCACTGGGTTTAGTTACGTTGCCATGTCCCTTCCAAGCACATATCCCTGCCTTCTCCCATCTCTCCTTTTCCCTTCCTCATTCTGTTCCCCACTTCATATTCTCCATCCCTTCCTCCCTACATTCCCATCTCCCCAGCAGGGTGCAGGCAGGGAGCATGAGGCAGGCTCCCAGCTTCTTTCCCATCTCTTCTTCCTCCCTTCCAGCCCCCAGATTTGCCTGGGAGACACCCAGCAAACTCACCTTCTTGCAGCAGAAGAGAATTCCTCCATGGCTTTGGCTAGTTTTTCTGCGTTCTCCCCTAAATTGGGAAAGGCCTGACAGATCCCACCTTCCCACTCCAAGGCAAGGGTTAGGTGGCAGAGCTGCATAGCCATGGGGCAGAGGATCTTTTGAAAAGCTTTGTTGTCTGTCAGGAACCCGAGGTGGTGGAGATAAAAAGGCTCCATCTCGTCCTGCCTGGAAAAGGGAAAACCTGGGATACGAATGTACAGGGGGAAGGGGGTGGGGCAGGGGGGGATTAATTACACCTTGATTACCATAACTCAGTTCCTGTTGTGGATAGGGTGGAAGACAGGCATGGAAGGCAAGCACCCGCAGCCAGCGTGTGAGGGGCAGAGGGGCTGGGGGTGCCGGGGGAGACAGCGGGGGGCTGGGGGCTGCCCCCCTGTGGGCTTCTCTCCTGCTCTCCCACCCTTTTCCGAGGCCAGGGACGTTTCGGGGGGCCTGGGGATTGCCTCGGCCCCGCGGGTGTCCCCCCGGTGTGTGTGGGGATTTGGGCGCGTCCGCAGGGCGCTGGGTGGGGGGTGCCTGCCGGGGGGCCGGGATGAGCCCGCGTCGCCATGGGGACGCCGGTCGCGGCAGAGTGATGGCTGCGGGGCGCCGGGTGGCGGGGCACGCCGGGAGCTGTAGTCCGGATCTCCTCCCTCTTTAGCCGCTGCCTCGGGCCTCAACTCCGCTAATCTGCCTAATCTGGGGCCAGCTGTCCCCTCGGTTTAGTCCTGTCGCTCCCCGCCCCTTAATCCCCGGGCCGTGTCGGAGGCCGCCCTCCCTGCCTGCCGCCTGGGTTCGCAGGGCTGTGTGCTTAGGGGGGGTCACGCTATGGTGTTAAAAACCTGAGCAAACGGGTAACGTTGGGCGTAAGGTTGGGGGTTCCCTCCTCACACCAGGCCTGCCCCAAGCCCCAGCTCCTGCTACAGCCCTTGCTAGCCAGCGTCCCTCAGAGCCTGGGCCCCTGGGCCTTCAGTTGTAAGGAAATGAGGCTGGTGGCAGCTTTACAGGAGGGGAAAAAAGTGATTTCTCCCTTTCCCCTGTGCAGTCGGCCTGGGTGGAGCTGGTGCTGATCTGCTGTGCCAAAGGGAGAAATGCATCTATGTGCTCAGATAATCTGGGGGGTGGGACACAAATGCAAGCAAGAGGGCAGCAAAGCGGGCACAGTTTCTGTTTATTCTGTTTTTTTCAGTGTACTTTTGCCTAATGCAGAACATCCACTGGGAATGATGAGCCTTCTCCCCAGAGCACAAACTTCAGCTCTACCTCCTGCATTTAAGTAATTCTGAGTAATTGCAGTATCAGAGCTATAAAAAAACCGCACAAAGAAAACAACAAACTACCTTTAGGTTGGGATAAATTCACAATAAAAGCACCTTCAGGTTGTGAAAAGTTCACTTTTCCTTCTTTCTGGCATACTCTTTGGCTGTGGAGTGACGAGGATTGGTCCTGACTGAGGCCTGTTAGGAATCTGAGGTGCTGGTGGATGTCAGTCTATTGAAGTGCTGGAGCTGGATCCTGCTCCCGTTTCCTCCCACTGTAAGCACTCCCACCCCAGCAGCAGCCCGTTTCCTACGGGCTGGGCACTCGTTCGGGGCGGTCAGGGAGGACTCTCCCTGCAGGAATCCTGCTGTTCCCCCTCCTTGTGCGGGCACAACACCTGACTGACTGCAGCGGCGCGCACAGCCCTGAGCATTCCCAGGCCTCCACAGCGCGTGAAGTCCGGATCACGGGTAGGCGCCGCTGCTTCCAAAGGGTTGCGGGGAGAGCTGCGGGACAGCCCCCCGCGGCTG